GGCCCGGGGGGGCGAGAGGGGGCGAAAACGCCCCAAGCAGGCACATGAGCCCCCTCCTGCAGGTGCCGAGGGCCCTGACACAGGGGGGGGACAGGCCAGGCGGCGGCCCTCCTCGGCGGAACAAGGATGGGGACGACAGAACCAGCGTGCACAACACCCCAGCTGGGGTCAGAACAACCACACAGCTGACACAACGGCAACGCCGCGGCCCCGTGCCACAGGTGCCGAGGGCCCTGAGATGGCAGGGGCGGGACGGTTCCCCGCAGGTGCCAAGGGCCCTGACACGGGGGGCCGCGCCCAGCAGGCCCGAGTGCCGGACAACTGGCAGCACACCGCAACGCCGAGGAACACGCCCAGGAGGCAGCCGGTCCCACTTCCGGCGCCCAACATCATCAAGCAGGACCCGGTGGTTTTTCATAAGAGTTCTGTTGGGCTGAATGAAGGGGGCCAACGCTTTTCAGCTACCCCCCTGACAAGTCCCACGGAGCTGTCACCGGGAGGGGACACCTTCCCGTGGATGGAGAACATCCCGGAGCGCCTGGCACAGCGGCTGAGATGGACACAGGGCACATCGCCCAAAGTTCCATCCAGTGGGCCCATCATTGTCCTGCTCTATGCAGGCAAGGAAGACCCAACTTCCTTAGACAGCTGTCTTCATGCCAACTACCCGCACCTCTCCAGCATGGTGGTGGCAGTAGACATCCTACGATCCGGACCAAAAGGGAACCACGACATGCTCCAACCCGAGCTGTATGGAGCGCTCTGCACGGCAGCAAAGCAGGGCCGAGTGGTCTTCACCCAACTGCAGGACATGGTCCATCCTGCGCCACATACCAAAACCGGGGGCCCCCACCCCGGTGCGAGGACGCACTCGAGAGACACTTTGGGGCCTCCCACACCTGGACCAGGCCGCCCAGACTCAGCTTGATGAGGACAGTACCCTCATTTTGAGGCAGATGTACATCACCAGCCTGGCAAGGGCCTCAAGATCGGCGGCCTCGCTGCCAGGGCCAAAATCCTTCTTGGAGCACCCGGAGGACCCAGTGGTGAGCAGCTCGCTGCCCAAAGCCAAGGAATGCTCATCCTTCTGGATCACGGAGGAGGGGCAGCTTTGGATGGAGGAAAACTCCTTGACAGCAATCTCCTTCGACCAGTGCCGCCTGGGCCAGCTGGTCAAGAAGGCCACCACACTTGCCACGGATCTCCCAATCCAGGACTGGGATCAAATGCGGTGCACACATCAGTCACATGTGGGCACCAGCGAGTCCTCGACTCTCAGCAGATACCCCTGGGATATGATGGCAGGCCTGGCCAAAGCCATCGCTGTGTCACTCGCAGCGCCGGGGCACATCCGGATCCCCTCACAATTCCCGGGAAACCCTAAGGAACCACCTAAGGGAAGGGGGTCGGACCCCCCTGGGGGCCCTTCTCCCCGGGGGAAACGGGGACCCAATCAGGGAGGCGGTCCCTCCTCGTCACACCAGGGCCCAGAGCCCGGAGGCAAGAATGCCCCGAAGCCCCGCCAGCACGGGCACATCCACCATGAGGCTGACACCGTAAGCCCTCGTGGAACTATGAGTCCAGACTTCCCATCTCCCATGCCCCCGATGGCCGGAGATGCGGAACAACTGGAAAAGGAAGAACATGGGGACCAGGTCCTGGACCGCCCCGAATGCCTGCCCGCTTTCCGGGTCCCACGCCTCACTGACCGAGTTGCGATTGTCCAATTGGGTTTCCGTTCACGCCCCCTGAGAGATGGGGGGGGGAAACCTTCCCCGGGGAGGCTCAACCCCCCTTTTCGGAGAGTTTCCCCTTTGGCTACTTTGGGCGCCCTGATCATGACCCTTACCAGGCCCTGGATTGATAAGGTCCGGATGTCCCTGGCATCAGGTGCCACCACACACCCCTTCCAGGAAACCGACCTCGAGGAGCTGCGGGCTATCCTAGGACCGAGGCACCTCCATGAACGATGCCCAGGACAACCCTTCCTCCTGGACTTAGTGTCGCACTTGGCATCCCTTTCAGGTGACCCTGATTGGGAGTTCCCCCTGACACTGAAAGAGGGGGTCCCCTTGGGAGTCTCGGACCCTACCTTGACCTCCCCGGGAGTTTGGCCCACTAAGGAGGAGCTCAAGGGAGAGGCATGGCTGGGGGAAGATCCCCCCCCGCCAGTGGCTCATGATAACTACCCAACGGCTGAACTCTTTGCCAAGGAAATCGAATCAACCTTTTACGAGGAACGAGCCTTGGACATGGTGGACGGGCCCTTCACTCGCTCCGAGGCGGCAGAGAGGTGCCGCTGCAAACCGGAGGAACTTTGCCCGGGCCCCCTTGCAGGGATTGATGAGTCGGACAAGATCAGGACGATCTATGATGGCTCAAAAGGGGGAGCAAACGCACACATCCAGGCTCACACGGAGGAGAAGACCACCGCACCGATGGTTGGAGACTGCCTCCATGCCATCCACTGGCTCAGGACAGCGGCGGACCATCCTCATCTACTCCGAGCCCCATCCTCGGGCACTGATGAGGAACCTCGGGATGTTCACCAGCCGGTGCAGGGGCAGTCCCCAGGTGCCGAGGGCCCTGAGAGGGACCCCCACAGCACCAGCCTGCCCCCAGGTGCCGAGGGCCCTGATAGGGGCAGGCGGATGATGGAGACCTCCGGCGGCCTGGACGTCTCTCCGCGGTCAACACCCTCAGGGAAGGGGCCACTCCCAGGTGCCGAGGGCCCTGATAGGAGGGCCCCATTCCCCCCAACCCCCCCAGGCACGGAACGCCCGGGGGGAGCAGGGGGGAACCCCTGACGTGGCAGCCGCCGACACAGGGGGAAACCTTCATCATCCTCAAGGCGGATGTCACCAAGGCCCACAGGCGCATAAAAGTGCTCCAGAAAGACTGGAAATACCAGGTGGCCTGCATCCAGAACCGGTGGTGGGTCAATAGAGTGGGCACGTACGGCATGGCCTCGGCACAACTGTACTGGGGAAGAAAGGCATCCTTGGTGCTCAGACTCTTGTACTACATCTTCCCTCAGGTGGACTGGCACTTAGTCTTTGTGGACGACTACTGCTGGGTCCTCAGATGCAGCAGGGCGGACTGGGACGCCACAGCCATCCTGGCCACTCTTCTGGCGCTGGGAGTCCCGCTTTCTTGGAAGAAGACGGCGCTCTCCCCGGTCAATACCTGGTTGGGATTCGTGGTGGACCCAATCACGCCCTGTGTGCTGCTGGCTCCAGTCAAGCACGTCATAATCCTGGCCACTCTCAAACGGCTGGCCCAGGGGGACATCTTTACCAGCAAGGAGGTGGAACAAGCCCTGGGCCGGATTCAATGGGCTACTTCGGCGTGTCCATTGACGAAACCTTTCCTCCAGCCCTTTTGGAGCTGGAAGAAGGCCTGCACCACTTCGGGCAGGCCACCGAAGCTGGTTCGTGCTCTGGCCATCCTTCTGGGGAAGCTCTTCAACCAGAGGTTCCCACTGGCATCTCCATTTGCTCCCACACTTCCATGGACGGGGGCATCTGATGCGGGAGCTGGCAAACAGGCGGACCATGCATGGGTTGGTGGTTGGTGCTCGGACGTGCCCAACCCCGACAAGTCCCGAGTGAAGTGGTTCCAACACAGAATCACACCGGAGGGCGAGCCGTGGGCCTTCACTACTGGGGACCCGCAGCGGGCGATAGCGGCCTTGGAGCTCTTCGGCCTCCTCCTTTTGGTGAGGGCTGTTCTGCTTTGTGCAGCCGGCTCGGCTTCTCACACTAGGATTCTGGTTGCTAGTGATAACCAGGGAAACGTTTTCTCCCTGCTTAACGATTCCACTCGCAGGATGCCCAATGCGGCCATCCTCATGGAAATTGTGTTAACACTGCATGACCACCAGGTCATGTTAGGACCGTCGCATGTGAAGCGCGACTTTAACACATGGGCGGATGAACTTACTCATCCGGACCCGCAATTTCCGACTGAGAACCGGGTCTTCCCCTCAGTCGAAAGCGAATTGATCAAGCTGATCTTCGCTACTTTCCTTCCTCACCCATGATGCCGGGAGGGCATCCGGTGAGGTGGGAGGATTCCTCCCTCGCTGTGGGAGTGGCATCAATCCTACTCCCATCAGCTGCTGAGGGGAGCTGCCCAGTGGAACTGGGCAATCCTCCCATTTTGGCACTAACCCTTATGCGGCAACAAAGGAGGCACCGTTTTGCGAATAAGGCCTCAGTAGCACCTGAGTGGTGCTTCAAAGAGTCTGTTGTATGTCCCCCTGTTGGTTTGAAAGGATCCCTACTGGAAACATGTATTTTTTCAGTGAACTTCCGCGAGTGGAAGCTTGGATTGGGGATTCGAAGCTCTGGCTCTGGTGGGTAAATTGATTTTTTAACCCCCAACACCTCAAAACCAACTCGGGGAAGCCGAATTGGGAAACCTGGGGTTTTAGGCCAAGGAACGTTGACGTGATCAAGTAGCCGTGGGAATCCATTTAGCCACTTTGGCATCACATGTCCGGCTAGTTTGCCACCATTTGGGTCTGTCTTTTTTGGAGTTGGTACCCGCTTTAGGTGGTTCCAGAGGGAAGTCAACAGGAGAACCACAATTTTGGGGTTCGCCCCAAGAAAGACACCCGCTACAAGTTGGACGTCTTTGGGAGGGCAGCAGTAAAAGGTAATTCCCACTGGACGGAGTCCACCTTGGTCCGTTTTTTTGTCCGGTGCGAACCAACCGCCAAAAACGGTTGCACCTTGGTGAATGGCATAATTTTTGGTGGATGTGGGCAAGTCAACGGGGCAGTGAACAAAAGAGTTGTGCAATCTAGCCTAGCTTCGTTGGACCGGTCTGGATCGGGACCTCCACAACTTTTGAGATCCCCAGATTCGACTTGGAGCTGTCCAGCTGCACCCACGAAACTCTCGGGGTGGCCTTCCCCCAGGCAGCCGCCCAAGCGCCCAGAGTGTTTTTTTTTTGGGGCTAGGGCTTTTTTGGGGCACGGAACCTCTTCAGAAGCCATGGCTGTGGTCCTGAATGGCCAGTTTATATTTTTTCTCATTCGTGTCAATAGGTGTCAATTTCTAGCGGGCGAAATCAGTCAGCTGGAAACTCTTTCGGACTCGTGACTGTCGTTTTAAAGTAGCCCACTGCCTTCGCTTTTTTTGTTTGGCCCCGAATTCCCCTGGCCCACTCTCCGCAAAATCTCGCAGGCTCATCCCGACAAGGGCGGCGATCCAGAGGCTTGGAAAACTGGTCATATGTGAGGCAGTTCCAGTTGGGATGACTCAGGGACCCCTGGTTCTCCATTGCCGGATGTATCTAGCCCTTTTCACAACTTTGCCATTTCGGGTTTCGTTCGCTTCCCTTTCCAAGCAAGCCCGGAAGCAGATCCGGGCAAAACTTCGGAAGCCTTTGGCAAGCTCAAATCCTCCGCTCATTTGCGGATTTGGCAGGAGCTCACCCAACAAACATGTCAAACCTGGGAGTTCCGGCTGCGCTTCACCTCCACGCGGTTTTTGGGAACTGGGGGAGGAGCGGGAGGAGACCTACATGTCTTCACCCTCTTGAAACCTTTGGGACGTCAAATGGCAATGGCTCGCTCAAAAAGCCGGTGCCCAAAAATGGGTTGCGGAAACATGGACCAAAACCTGCGGTTTGCCCCTCCTGTTTAATTTTGAGCCACACCCAAATGATGGGTCAAAATTAAACCAGGGGACCGCAGGTTTTGGTCCATGTTTCCATTTAGGATTCTATTTTGGGTACATATTTTTGACCACCCTGGTACGTGGAAGCTGGACCAAGACCTGCGGTTTGAGCCTAGCTTTGTAATTTTGAGGTACAGCCAAATGAGTCGAAACCTTTGTTTTTGCTCAGGCCTTCCAGAAAGTGCGGCTGGCGGGCGAGCTGCTGCTCAAGAAGACCGTCAAAGCCGCTCGGCGGACCCCGAAGGCTTAGGCTGCGGAAGTCCTAGTTGAGGTCTCATCCATTTTTTTTAAAAAAAAATATTATTGTTATTTTCATTTATTTATTTATTTATTTATAAGAACATATATATATATATATATATACATACTTGAGGGTAAACGGAGCTTTCGGGAGCTTCGCAAAAATGAAGGGCCCGGTTTGAGCTTGGCTGGTATTCAAAGGGCGGGAAATCAAAGGACACCATGGTGAGAAACAATGGATCAGAGCAAGTCTGATGGCCTTCTGGCTCCCCAACAGCTTTCTAGGATTTACCAATCCGATAGGTTGCGGGCAATTCCTTAGGTCTGTTAGCATAGGTGTCCTTGTCGGCTGTGTTGGTAAGAGAAGATCAATCCCTGGTCGACCTGGTTTCATAATTTTGCCAGGGAAATCAATCTATATTTACCACACGGACACCTATGGATGTTAGATAACCAGTTGTTTTTGAGAACCATGCAGAGCAGTTTGGATGGCGCAACTTGCAACGCAATCCTAACCTCTACTTTTTGACGAAATATATATATATATCGGAAGGTAGGAACAATGGGTCCACTAAGGGTCCAGGTCTGCTTTTCAGGATCCAAAAGGGTTCTTGAAGTGTTTGTTTCAGGCAAATGAGTTCAGCTTCCAACTCCGGACACAGGCCTTTCGTAGATAAAACCAACTCAGAGATCGGTGACTGATTCGAGCCAACTCTGTGGGGGACAAAGGCCAGCCCAGTTTTGGCATGTCGACTTGAAGTGGGGACTCTTGCGGGGCCTCTGTTAGAGATGTCCCCCCAAAAAAACGGGAAGGCGCGCCTTTTTCTTGGAGATTGGAGCTCGAGTTGCCGAGGAATTTGTTCGAACAGCCGATCCCAACCCCTGCGGAGTAGAAGGCGAGTGGTTTCCCTGTTGGATTGGGCTGGGTTGGGTTGGGTTGGATTGATTGTTTCGATGGATTGGATTGGATTTGGCCTCGGTGCGACAAAAGCCTCGGTGGGTCCCCCGCGCTGGGCGCGCCGGGCGCGCCTTGCGGACCCCGCCCCGGGCCGATCCCGAGGCCAAGAGCTCGCCGAAAGCGCGCGCCACGCCGCAGGCCGCAGGCGCTGGAGTCGGAGTCGGAGTCGGAGTAGGTGCCACTGGAGGTTTGAGATCAGGGTCGGGGTGGGATAGCAGGTTGGTCCTGTTGGGAGGGAGGAGGGGTTGGGGGGGTGCGAAGATTAGGGGTGGCACCATGCAAAATGGTCATATTACACATGAACCTGTTCAAGTGTATCGACCAGCTTGGGCTTTTTTGCGCTGCTCACATGATCAGATTGTTTGTCCATGGTCTATGGGTATGGAACGGTGTGCCTCAAAATGGGGGAACTGGTGCCAAAATGGTGCCCTGTTTTCTTTGGCGTCCCTTCAAAACCGCAAAAAAGGAAGCCTCAAACAAAAAGACACACCTTTTTGTTGACCGCGCCCCTGAGCTGCAACAAAGACTGATTCTGTTTGCTTGTTTGGGATCTGTTGGTATTGAAGTGGAGGGGTTGCCACCAAAACACTAGAAGTGGTGCAACAAATCCGCTTTCCTCCAATCCGAGCGCGGAATCCCGCTTGCAATTCCTGGACAACCCTCCAAACCAAAAAGCCAAAGCTTATGGAATCCTCACACCGCGAGCTTGGGCGCCCTACAGGTTTTGCGCCACTGAGGGTTTTGCGGGGTGCAGGGCTTTGCGCCACGAAAAGCTGAGAACCTCGCCTCGTGAGGCTCCTTCAAGGGCCCGGCCGTGAAGAAGGCCGCGGCCAAAGGGCCCCAGCGCCTCGCCAGCCTGCACGAGGCGCCTCGGGGCTTCGGGCTTCCGAAGCCGGGCGGTGGGCGGCCCCCCAACTTTGTTTTTTTTTTGAGCGGGTTTTCTCCGTTTCCCTTTGGGAAGCTCCAACAGTGGCCGTTTCAAGCGAAATCCTGGGCCAGTGACCCCCTTTTTCAAGTTTCGATTTGGAAGATCCAGAATCAATCCTCTCATTTTGACCGGTGCTGTCAGTTGCCACACCATCGCTTCATGTTAGACTTTGTTTTGGATGGATGCTACAACACCCCTTTCTGTCATGATTATCTTCGTAGATTGCATAGGAGTAGACAGTCGAGTGTAGAGCCAGGAGTAATGATCCCTGTCAAGGTCCTCTTTGTATTTCTTCAAGCGGCTTGAACCACGCCCATGTTCTTCCGTCATTATTTTCCTTCGGGGCTGGAAATCGAATTGGGGCCCGGTTACGACCCCCCCCCAACTGTATTTCTGGACAGTGCTTGGAATCTGGACATGGGGAAGAGCAGTCGGAGGGTTCTGGCAGTGGAAGAAGTTTGTTCCGGCCGGCAAAAAGGCGGCCACAATCTGTGCCGTGGTCCAAACGCCTGTGTTTCTCGGGGTAGTAGGCACGGTCAGCTGCTGAAAAGTGATTTCAGTCTCAAGGGCTTTCCAGTGAGAAAGCCATGATCATGGATGTGGCACAAAAAAGGGGGCGCGGAGAGCCTTTTTTTGTTGTTGATTCTTTACGTTTTTTTTTTTTTGGTTTTGCGAGAGCTCTTTTTTATTTTATCGTTTTTCCTTTTTTTCTTTTCCTTTATTTTCAGGGGGGTTTTCCCCTTCACAGATGCGTGCGTATTTATTTATTCAGGGAGCCCCAGAAAACCGAAGGATCATGGAGTGAAATTCTACCTCAGGCAAGCCACGCTGACTTGTTGGTTTGAATCCTGCGGAGTGGGTAATGTTCAACCCGGGATTCACAAACCCCAGCTTATGAATAAGGGGATGATCTTTTCTGGTCCGAATCCCGACTAAAACCCAGAATCGGACGCCCCCCCCCCCCCGTCAATAAACTTGGGTTTAATGTCAACCCCGGATGAATGACCCCCCGGTGGATTTTGATCGGGAGGTGTCCAATTCCTTTTAGTGGTTGGATTCAGACCACTTTTGGAGGGAACACCCCCAAAATCCCCGAATCCTGGGTCAACATTACCCAAGGAGATGCCTCGGAAGATTCATCGGGCGATCCATCCAAAAGCTGGTGCGATCCATTTCTAGGAGTCCAAGGAGCTGGACGGCTTCTTCAGAAGCCTCGGCAAGGCCGCGCAGCCGGCGCCGGATCAGGCGGGAGACCGGGTGGACCTGCTCCCCACACCCCGCCTGATAGTTTTTTTGTTTTCGTTTTTTTTTCACTCTGAAGAGACAACTGCTTACAACTTGGAGGGGTCACTGGCATGGACGTGCCTCAAAATATATATATATATATATATATCACACGGCTTCCCACTGCTACGGGCTCGCAGAAGGATACGCGCGAGCCGGGATCTGCTTGTTGCCCCCTCCGTTGAAGGGGGAAAAGAACCTTGCGTTGGAAGGTGTTGGCCCTCAAAACGGACGCCTTTTTTTTCAGGGCCCAAGATGTGGGTGAGACTATTACACGAATTTTGCGACTCACATAACAGTTTTCCCCACGACCAAGGCCATTATTCTCAGTGCAGCAACTGAGGCATCTCCGGATACTTTCGTGACAATTCCAGGCCCACAAACTGCCAAATACCAGCGTGGAAGGGTTTTCGCCACATGGCTGTGGCTCAAAAAACCGGTACCAAAATGGAACCCTGGTAAGTGGAAACATGGACCAGAACCTGCGTAACCCTAGCTTCTTCATTTTGGGCCACACCCACATGTTTTCCTCCCATTGCTTTCTTCTGGTGACCTAACAGAAGGCGACTAGGGTCGAGTACCCGGACCCTACAAAAAGTGACAAATCACCCGCAGAGTCGGGGCTCAGCTTGGAGCTTGGAGCATGGACTCTCCGATGGGGCATATGGGCGTGGCTTGAAATGAAAGTGCCAGGGCAAACCGGCTTTTGGTTGAGGGGCTAGATGTATTTTCTCAACCACGCCACAGGGTGGGGGCCCCGTTTTCTCAGTTTTGACTGGAGGCCTTTAAATCACCCCCCTGCCCCCCCTGCCCCGAAAGGGGCTCCCATTCTTCCCACCGAAGCATAAGAACTCTGCCGGGTCTGGGAATTTTGCCTCCGGACAGGCGTCGTCCGCGCCATCGAATGGGCCGGAGCTCTTGCTGAAGCTTCGGCAGGCACGGCTGAGAAGCAGTTCAGACTATGGGTGGACAAGATCCACTTCGCACCAGGTGTTGGTGGTCTATCAGCCAGTATTCATAGGGTGTTCAACCAGAATTCAATCGGATTTCACCCATCCCAACTGTGCAAAGTGGATTTTGTCCATCCACAGTATTGCTGGGAGTCTGTTGTTGATCCCCTTTCTCACAAAAAGTCTGGGGCTTACCCAATTGAACCAACCCTGGGACGAGTTACTCGCAGTTGTGCAGGGCCCTTGGATTGTCCATACCCAACAGGTCCGAATCGATGGGATCCTTAGTTGGCAAGTGAGGTGAAGTGGGCTGTTTTCCAATGATACCCTTTCTCCGGAGCGTCATGGATCGGTCTCCCGAGTAAGCTCTGGAACTGTGGTGTCTCTGCCCAAATTTAGGCTCTGGAGTGGTTCGAAGCGCCGGGCTAGGGTTCCGGGGCTGTTGGGGAAGCCCGAACTTATGGTTCACTCCATTCCAGAGAACCCAGTTGTCGTTTGGGTGGGTTTGGAATATGAACCCCTGGTTGTTGTGAGTTGAGGGTAAATGGGAAGCCACCAATCTAAACTTGCCCGAGAAGCTGGCCCGGACTCAAGGGGAACGTTGCCATCTGCCCCCGCAGTTTTGAATGGGAGTGTTTGCAGTTTTGAATGGGTGTGTTTGTGTGTGTGTGTGTGGGGATTCTTTCCACCCCTTTCCACTTGTGGTTCTGGGTGATTTGGGATATGAGCCCTTTTGGTGGATTGGTGGTCGTCTCGGTGGATTTCAAAGTTTAATCTTGGGATCCTTTCCCTTTCCGGGGTAACAAGGGCACCATCTGCAAACCGCCGTCATTCACCTTGCATCTCCAACTTGTGGGTTCTGGCAAAGAGGTCTGCACCTTGACTGATAAATCCTGCAGTTGAAGGCATGTTGCCTTTTTCTGGGCCCTTGGTGATTTTGGCGATCTTCCCTTCTTGGCCCACCAAACTTTCTGCCCCCTTCCCCCAGTTCGCCATCTTGGCTCCCCACTAACGGCGCTCCCCTCCCCTGCGCTTCCTTCCGCTTCGGCCCACCCCCGCTTCGGCCTGCCATCTCGCAGTTCTGGGGGGACGTGCGCGGGGAAAGGCCCGGCGCTTGCGGGGCCAAGCGCGCCTGGACTTCCTGGCGCAGCCCGGAAGCCCAGGCGCGCGCCAAGCGCGCGAGGCGCCGAGGTTTTTGTTTGCCCCCCCCCCCCCCCCAAAGGCAGATTTTTTGGGGGGGGTGTGGCCGTTTTTTTTCCTGATGTGCCCCTTTTTGGCGGGTTTCGACGGAAAACCAGAAGGACAACCAGCATTGTGGACCCAAAATGGTGTTTTTTTTCTTCTGGTTTACCTTTCAAACCACCAGTGCCCTCAACAAAAGACAAACCCATTTTAGCCGACTGCTGAAATGACCTTTTACTTTTCCCATGGCCCATTTTTAGTGGCCCGAAAAGGTGACCAACTTTGCTTTCTGGGTCCTCGCAACTGAGAAGTAGATGGGCGGCTCGTCCTTTGTTTTCTTCTCCAGGTACCCCGTTGAAGGCTGAATTAAAGGAAAACCACCCATTTTGAGAAAGCCTCTGCACCTTCTGCAAACCTTGATAACCGTGTGCCAAAGATCAACTCAGGTGTGCCAAAGATCAACTCAGGTGAGAAATGCCCAACACTTCATTTTTGTGGCGAAGTTATGCACGGGGCCCATGGGTGGTTTTTCTTGGCGGCGGCGGGGCGGGGGGAGCTATAATGGTGGTTTCCTACAATCATCACCAAATATGGGGATTCTTAAGTACCCAACACACCCCATTCCTATGTTGTTTTTCTCGGGGGCAGTTCCCGGCCCCTTTTGGAGTTGGTGTTGATGGCGGAAGGCCACGAGGAAAACCAGCCATTGGTCTACCCCAGTCTTCATGAGACACGCTCCAAATGGTAGGAGCCCAACCCGAGGTTCCTGAGAGAGGATTGGCTTTCCCGAAAGGTCTAAGGACACACCAAGGTGTTTCAAACGCTGGGTTGAAGTCGAGGATTGCCACTGGCATATGTGATATTTTGTTGGGAGGTCTCTTGGGATCCGGGAGGCACCTCCCCTGAGTTCCTGGGCTTGAGATCTATTTTGCTTCGGCAACTCTTTGGCAAAGTGTATTTTGTTCGTGAATCCACAAAAGGGAAGTGGGTTGCTTCTTTTGAAAGGAACTCGCCCTCCCCTCCCCAACAACTGTTTTTGGACAGGGCTGTGCCAAGGGGATTTAGGGCATGGAGAAAAGCAGTTGTTGCGGGGGGGTGGGGCTGGAAGAAATCCATTTTTCTTGGTGGTTCCCAGACATCCCCTTAGCCTTTTCGCTTCTTAGTTGGTTTAGTGGTCGGGTTTCCGAATTTAACCCACTAAAGGCAAGCCACTGGTCGGGATCAGAAAACAGACAGCCCAGTTTCTTCTTGGGCTCCGGAAAAGAAGAACAACGCGGCCGAGGCTGCCTGCACCGATGCGGGCGGAGGTTTGCCGGAGCCTGGCCGCGATCAGCCAGGAGGAGGGGAAAAAAAGACAGCCCACGCCGGGTTGCTTGTTTTGCCCCCCCCCCCCCCCCGCTTGAGTCTCAGACCAACATCTGCGTCAAAGCTGTTTGGCAAAGGGCACAGAAGGCGCTGGTGACCAAAAAAATATTGAAGGTGACAAACTGACAAAGTAGTCATAGGGACAGCCCATATCACCGAAAGGGTTATGTCGTTGTTTTCGTGGTTTCCTGTGAAAAGAGAACGTTGTCCGTTTCTTTCTGGCATTCCTTCCGGATTCGTTTTCAGCAGCATTTGTTTGTTGCAGCACGGTGAAGGGTTATTCTAAATTAAAAGCGGACGTGAAGTTCCGACTGTTTGAATAGCACTGCCTCATTGTCACTTCTTCAATGCTGCCGCAATATAA